ACAAGTGAGTGCTGTATGATCTGGGGAATAGTAGAAAAATGAGAGCTTGTGTGCTGCTGTGCTGACTTCTTGCTTTCTCCTTGCAGAACTGATTGTGGCTCTAGCTGTCTGTGGATCCATCCTCTTCCTCCTGATCATCCTCTTGTTGACTGTCCTCTTCCGCATGCAGTCGCAGCCTCCTGGCTACCGGCATGTTTCCAATGAGGGAGAAGAGCAGGCATGACAGTCACTCCAACCTCTCCTCATGCAGCAGGAGGGAGCAGTGCTGTTCCCAAGGATGAATGGGTACCCTTCAGTGATTGAGAATTCTTCAGCTCTGACCATTGCTCCCCAGACTGAAGCTGGGCTTTGACAAGACTTTGGCAGAACCTGGCTGCTCCTAACACTAAACATGATGTTTGCAGAAGGTGAAGTGCCACAGGTGGGCTGACCTCAAAGAAATAAAATATCCTCTCCTGAACGTGGTGTGCTATATGGAATCCTCAATTCCAATTCAGTACTACCACTCAAGGACTCCCCTTCTACTCAGTTTGGCCAGCCAGGGCATTGCATCTCAGGAAGACTTTTTCCTTCTAATGATTGTAAACTTTACCACTCACCCTGACTGCAGCAAAGGACCTGGACCTCTCCAAGATGTTGTGATCTCCTGCTCAGTCTGGAACTGCCTTGTTCTTTTAGGTCATTTTTTGTGTATATTGTAATCAGCCTAGTGGCTCAAGACAATGGGAAGGCTGGGCCTGGGCCTGGGCCAGAGCCCCAGCTGGTTAGGGACTGAATCCTCACCTGCTCTCCAAGCACTCTGAGCTGCTGGAGATCACAGGCAAATTAGGAATACTTGATTAAATCATTCCTGTCTTTGCTACTTGATTGGTGCTAGCATCTGGTCACTTTCCCCCCTCCCTTATTCTATATCACGAGTGAAAAACCAGCCTTAAGTCAGGGAAGGCCTGTAAACCTGACATTGGGTCCAAAGTTCATTGCCAGGGTAGGCTGGACATGTCCAAGCTTGACAGAGGCTTTGCCAGGTGAATTAACCTGCGATGCCCAATTTGTGATCTTTCCAAGCTGTCACACGCCCAGCTCTGTTGTGCAATGTTACACAAAGGAGAAAGTGCCCTGCCTGTTCCCTGGGCCAGGAGCTTTGATTACCTTCATAATGCTATCCTGCAGAGCTACAATTGCTTGTGGTTATGAAATTATCAAGCCCTTTTTAAAGCTATAGCCTTTGAGCTGACTGCTCTAGATTCCTCTGGGTATGTATAGCTACGGCCTCTTTAGGAGGAACTGGCAATACTCCCTGTACCACACTGTGGGCAGAGGTTGGCTGTAGGCCCAAAAAATGTGCATTGCAGGCAGAAAGTATTATGTGGCAGTCTAAGGCCACGTAGCGGAAAAGTCTGCTTCTGAAATCAGAACGGACACCACCTCCACTAGCTTTCTCCCTATCGCTGAGGCTGTTGTTCACGTGCCAGGATTTGGATCTTCTTTCAGAAGGGTTGCTAAGAGTGATCATATCTCTGCCACTTGGGTGGAAGCAGCAAGCATCTCTGAATGCTGCAATGGGTGCTGGGAATATTATACTAAGCCCTCATCACCTTGCCTGCCACTTCCTATTCTGTGGTTTGTGGCAAAGGATGAGAGACTGCAGCAGGCACCAGAGGCGCTGGCTCTTCACATGGTGATGCTGCACATTCACTTCCCAGTTTTAGTTCCCTTTCTGGTCCAGTTCCCTTCCCTTCTTGGCAATAGAGGCCAGTACTCTGATTACAGGCGCTTCCTTTTCTTCCCCTACTGTGGATCATGGGGACTTTTTCCCTCCGCATAACAGGCTGTTGCCAGCATGGGAACTCTCTCAGCAGAAGCTGTCTGCTGCTCTCAGCAGCTCCCTCACCTATTTCTCTCCTTGTTGGGGATGTAAACATAGGTCTCCTGCCAGTCAAGACCGTAACAAAGAACAAGCAGCTGCTCACAGGAACAGGCATGAGGAAGAGAGGTAAAAGGAAGTGCATTAGAGGCAACCAAGCCTATTTTTTTAATGCAAAAGGTTTTGCACAAATGAAAGAGAGGTTTCTATAGTGATTAAGACTTTGTGAATGAGTTTCTGTAATTCTGTTCTGTTATTTCCACCCCTCCTCCTGTGCATTAAAATCAATCTTGGACTCGGCTTGTGATGCTCCTTTTCCTTTGTGTGCATTCACAGGCCTGTTATCTCTTCATAGTCAGATATTTGTGGAGTCTATTGCAATGGACTCCTTTTCACAGCATGAAGATTGGGTGGGAGGGGTAGCAGGGAGGTTATGGGGGTCTGTGGGGGGAGGGAGAGAGAGGGAAGGATGGGTCAGGACCCTTATTAACCAGCACACCCATAGAGTGATCCTAAATAAGATGGGCACAAAATTAACACGGGTTTTGGCTCCTACTACCTAACGTATTCAGGACTGAAAGTCTTCTATGTTCTTTTACAAGAAACCTTTGTAGAAGGACTATTTATGTAAATGCCTACCACACCTCTGCTGGTATAGGCTCAAGAAAAAAACAACTCAACAGCCCCTCCCTCCCCCTTAGAAGAAGCCCTGTATGGTACAAAATGTTTATTAATTCTTCAGTACTATGAAAAGAACAATGAATCCCAGTAGGGCCCAAGCCAGGGCCACAGCCAGCAGTCTTTGGGGGCAGACACTGCCCCTTGGCAGCTTTGTAAACACAAACTTTAAACCTTAAAATCTTTCAGGTTGACAGCAGCCCTGAGATGTGGGACTAGGAGAAAGGATGTGGGAAGAGAATCCTCAGGTTCTGCTTTGGGAACATTTAGCCCCACATTTGGAAGAACTGGAATGAACAAAGCAACTAAAACTCTGAAAACATGAACTACAGCATTAGCAGGCCCCAGCTCAGCCCTGGCTGTTCCACACTGGCCTCATCCTGCAAGACTGGTAAAGAGTAGGCCTCAAGCATAAGTACAAGAATGCTCTTTTCTGGTTCCTGCAATGAATGCTAGCATACAGCATGATGTTCTGGCTCCTACAATACTTGATAGAAGTAATAAAAGTGTGTGTGTTGTGCCCTCTACAGGAGGAGCTGGGCAGTGACACCTTCCCTTTAAGGGGGAATGAGAGAATAAGGGAAGCAACATAACACAGGGAGGAAGGACATAGCAGAAGGCTAGTACTTGCAGGGCAGCTCTTGCTCACTGTCAGTAACAGCTTTGTCTGATCAGTCCTCTAGATCCTTCTTCTGCTTTCTGCCCTGTGATTTGGTATTTTTGCCCTTTATTTTAGTCTCTTCCAGTTCCTGAGCAAGCAGCTTGGCTCTGAGTTTGCTTTTTCCTTGATTTGGTTGTCTCTGCCCCCCACGTCTGGAGGAGCTCCTGCCTCCAATCCCCTGCTGTGTCATGGCTTTCAAGAGGTGTTCCTGCTTCTTGGCCACCATCTCCTCCCGACTCCAGATCAAAATATTAAAACCTATTGAGAAAAAAAAGTCAACATGTACCCTCAGAGATACTGATGAGGCTTTAGGTCCTCTTGGGGGAAGTCACCATCTATGCCAGTTAAACATTTGGCAAGATGCTACACAACATAAGCAAGAAGTGTCTTTTCTGGATGCTTCCCAATCACCAAAGATGGTATCTCTTCATTCCTGATCTTCCCTTCACAGAGCCCCATTGTAAGGCTCACATACCTGGCCATGGGAGATCTTGGGGCAGTACCTAAAAGTTAGGAGATGTAAACAATTGCCTAGTCCCAAGCCTTTCCACAGGAAGAGCTGTTCTATCAAAGATTCTGCCATGAATGAGAAACTAACCATAGTAGGACCAGCTTTCCGAGGTCCTAGAGAAGCCCAAGCAGGCCAAACTGGGGGACCTTTCAATCTAAAGCATGGATAAACTTGATGGTCCAAAGGAGCGGAACAGCACAGCTAGAGACTAGCAAAAGAAGGCAATAGGGGTGGGACTTTTTTTCACCTTGCTTTTCTCTCAGTTCAGCGCCAATAGGTAGCAGCAGCTCCCTCCCCTGGGAAGCCTGCTTTCCCATGTACCTAATCATCAGGGACCCAGGTTTTCCATTTCCCACAGAAAAACAGTAAAACATGGATGCACATACACATTGCACAGAGCCACCAGGCAGCCTGGAGAGCAGTTCCACAGGTAAATGGCAGGGGGTATTGATGCCTCCATAGGGAGGGAGGGAGGGAGGAAGGGAGTTGGGAGGGCTAGTGCTGCTGCCTTGCTGGGCGGTGTGTGGGGCTTGGGGCCCAGGGCCGCAATGTGTGGTCACAGGGTCCCAGTGGGAAGCAGGACGGTGCCACGGGCTGCTTGCCTGGGAGGCAGGGGGCTGGCTCCCTGCTGCTGCATGCACTCTGGGGCAATGGGGACCCATGCCCCCAAATCTGTGCACAGGACGGGGGCTGCCTGCTGTGGGCTCAGGCTCCTGCCCTGCTGCCCTTCCCCGGGGCCTCTGTAGCCTGGTGGGTGGGACCTGGCACTGCAGGGCAGAGTGGGGCCGCACAAGAAAGCTGCTTACCTCTGCAAGCTCTGCACTGCCCTGGCAATGCATCCCCTGCCCATGTGGCACCAGTGAGGGGCACAACCCCACACTGCTGCTCCTGCTGCATGTGCAGGGGACGTGTCACCAGGGCAGTGCAGAGCTTGCAATGGCAAGCAGCTTTCGTGCACAGCCCCACTGTTCCCTGCAGTGCCAGGTCGCATCCACCAGGCTGCAGAGGCCCTGGGGGAGGGCAGGAAGATGGGGAGCTCAAGCCTGCAGCAGCCAGTCAGCCCCACCCCCACCCAATGCACAGATCTGGGGGGGCATGGGTCCCCCCTACCTTCCAGTAGTTCACACAGCTGCAGGGAGCCACCCTCACACCTGAGCCTGCAGCAGGTAGGCAGCAGGGGCAGGGGAGCCAGGCTCTGCTCCAGTAGCTGCCATCTCCTGCCAAGGGCAGAGGGCTGCGGACCCAGGTCCCTGGCCCCGCAACCCTGGCAGCTGGAGGTCCCCTCCAGCAGGGCTGGGGAGCAGGGGTTGTGGGGGGAAGTGAGGGGCATGAGCAGGACCAGGGGTTTGTGGGGGGTGGGCAGGAAATGAGGGGCACCAGCAGGGCTGGGGGAGGCTATGAGAGGAGTGAGGGGCACAGGCAGGGCCAGGGGGGAAACTAAGGGGCACCAGCAGGATTGGAGGGCCTGTGGGGGAGGAGTAAGGGCACAAACAGAGCCAGGGGGGGCTTTCATTTTAATCATAGATTTCAGGGCATTTTATCAGAGAACTTGCAATTTTTTATCAGAGAATTTGAGATTTTTTATCAGAGAAAACCAGGATCCCTGCTAATCACAATTCCCACTTCAGCAGATGTTTGCAAAGCAATTTGGTAGCAACTGATTAATCCTCAGGAAGGCAAGAGTAAGAAATACTGGGGTGGGTCTTTACCAGTTTCATAAACAAATGAATTAAGCCACTGCAAATGTTAATGGCAGACCTCTTTTTAGCTTCCTGGGGCCCTTCCCTCCTAGCACATCCCTATTTGGAGAATCCAGTCTGCCCTCTTTGGGACCAGAACCCACTATCCCAAGTGTCCCTGTAAGGAGAAAGAGAAGCCAGAGACCCCCCCCACATCACTTACCCATGCCAGAGGCCAGTGTGTCTCCCATAGGGTTAAACTTATTAAGCTGCGGATAGAAACAAAATGACAAACTGTAAGTGTCACTGTTTCCCTAACAACATCAAACAATCCAAGAACCAGAATGTTCCCTACAAAACCTGCAGAAAGGACTCTGGCTAAGCGTGAATCCACTCTGCACAGCTCAGCCATTTGGGCTCACATGGTTTACACACCATCTACCTGGAGCAGTGGTTTGGCCAACAGGCCTCAGTCAGTAGGCCAGACCCACCTGTCACGCTGGCATAAATCAGGAGTAACAATATTGAAGCCAATGCAGTAATCGTGTGAAACTGCAGTGAAGGTGAGGCAAATCTGGCCCATACTCTCTCCTCTCTGCTCACCTTCTCTACAGAGAGAGAAGAGGTAAGACCCTGTGCTTGGGAGCTGAATGTGCTGACAAGATTAGCATGCCCTTCCACTCAGTGGGAGAAGCTGGAGGATCAGGTCATCAAAACCTGATGCGAGAGCTGTAAGTTGTGCAGACAACTTGTAACCATACTCCCACTCTGCTTCTCTCCACCCCCTGACAGGGTAATTCACAGTGGCTCCACTGCACGTGGCCAGGAAAGGGCCAGATCTCAGGCACAGAGGTAGCAGCTAAGGCAGTGGTTTTAAAATTGGCTAAAGTCACAGAACGTTTTCATAGCACTTCTGCCATGGAACCCCTATCCTAAAGACCGATGCAGTCAGGCAGCCTGGCCAGACAATGGCAGCACACTGCCTCCCAACCCGCTCTGCCATTACTCCCAATCTCTCTGTGGAACCCCTGAAGCTGTGGAAACCACAGAACTCCACTGTTCCACAAAACAGTTTGAAAACCACTGATCTAAGGCATCTCTTGCATGAACCCTTGACCAGGACTCTCTCTTAGGAGACTGCTCCCTATGGTAGATGTTCTGTGCCACTGTAAGTCATGACAAACACTTCCTGAACTGTTCCCCCATGTGGCTAGTTCAGACTGTTTCTCCCACCACACCTTGCCACCAAGCCTCCTCCAGGAAAAGCACCTGCAGTAATGGAGGAGATGATTCCCAGCTTGAAATCCTGCTCCTTTTATCTTACTAACATAGTGGCCCTTTCAGCTTCAGTGTCCATACTCACTGAAATAATGCCAGATGCATTGAGGTCATGGAGCTGGCACACCATCTCCCCAGTGTTTCCATCAAATATATCAACAGTTCGTAGTTCATCCACAGTGTAGCTGGGGAACTTGGGGTCTGGGTAACGACCTGCCACAATGAGGTCATAACGAGGATGCCATGTTGCCTAAACACAAAGCAAAGAGATGGTGGGTAAACAATTCCAGAAGAACGCTGTGAGCAACCACAATGCAGTGTCCTATCTTGAACAGAAATTATATCATTGCATTTTTTTTGCACCTGATGCTAGAAGCATGCTACGAAAATGCCTTCTCAGGTTGCACTTGCTTACCTTACCTTGATTGGTGTGAGGTGCTGGAACTGCCGATGTGGATGTGGGATCAGGTGCTGTGGTTTGCTCCAATCTGAAGAGGAGTAAACTCTGATTTCACTGTGTTGGTCTGTGCTCAAGAGCTTTGCACCATCTGTTGGGCTGAAGTAAGCTGGGAAAGAACAAGAAGACAGATGAGAGATCACAATCCCACAGGTAAAGAGAAAGGAGATTTAAAAGCCAAGAGGACTAATTGGGAAACTTGTAAAAATGTCTTAAAAAGTTATTAAAAAGGACATGTGCCCCCAACAGAAAAGGCTCTGCCCTTGTCAAGTACTTTTCAACTCAAGAAGTTCAAAAACTGAAAGTTACAGTGCGGGCATGTCAGGGAAGTATCCATAGGCAGAGGGAGAAAAATTATTTTGGGGGGCTGAGCATGCATGCATCTGCGCCTGCCCCCCTGGAGGTAAGTTTTGTGGAGGAAGGGGTGTGGGGAGAGGAAAGGGCTGTGGGCGGAGCAGATCGAGGCCCCGACCTGCACAGCTGGGGCAGGGCACAGGATGGAGCTGTAGTGAGTGGTTTGTCTGGGGCAGGGGGCACCTGGAGGGGGTGACGACTCCTGCCGCTGCACGCACTCCAGGAGGCACGGGAGGAGTGTGCCCCAGATTTGCATGCAGGGCGAGGGCAGGCAGCCGCTGCATGGGATGGGGCTGTGGCTGTGCCAGGCTCTTCCCAGCGAAGGGCTTGGGCCAGGCTGCACTTGGGGCAGGCAGCAGAGCTGGGAGCAGGGGCTAAAGCGAATTTTGGGGTGGCTGCAGCCCCATCTTCCCCCCCACAGCCTCTCTCCCAGGGCTGCCACCACCCACCCCAAATGCAGCCAGCCCAACCCCTGCGCCTCCCCTCCTCCCCCCACCTGGTAGAGCCTGGCACAACCCCGGCCCCAGCTCACAGTGAGCGGGAGCCCAAGCTGCCCCATGCAGATCTGGGGGCACATGCCCCCCGTGCCTCCTGGGGTGTGTGTAGCAGCAGGAGCTGTGCCCCCTGGATGAGCCGCTTGCAGCTCAGTCCCAAGCCCCACTGGCTGCACAGTGCCCGCCCCAGCCTCACTCCCTCCCCACCCCTGCTGCAGCCACCGGGAGCCTGCAGCTGCCTGGTAGCCCTACCACTGCCCTGCATTTGTGGGAACTAAGCCCCATTACCCACTCCTTTCCACTGCCTATGGAAGTATCATTATCATTTTATAGCTGAAGAAACAGACACTGAGCAGGAAACAAGCTGGCCCAAGGTCACAGGGCAAGTCACTGGAAGAGCTAGAAACAACCTGACTGTTCTTACTTCCCTGCCCAGCTACACCACATTCCCTTCCAATGCTAGGGACAGAACTAGAGGAATCTTGATTCCCAGACCCTGCTTCCAGCATTGGAACTTCAGCACCAGAAGATGAGGAACATCTCGACTACCCCAAATGAATTCCATTCCCCAACTTCAGAAACCTTCAGTATTTTCACAGTGAGCACTCAGAGGCAGCACTGCAAGAATGTCAGAGGACAATTATCTTCTTAAACAGAAGAACAGCTTATCTACTGGTGTCAATTGTTCAGGATGGTTTAGCCAGAAATCAATAAGACTGAAGTGGCACCAACACTTTCCTACAAGACTTTTATCAATGCCTAAAAATTTTAAAATTACATAATATCTAGATATCATGAAATTTAGACCTTAAATGCTGGAGGCTGCAAGTGGGAGAGAAACAGTAGAAAAAAACCCTGGTCATACCCTGTTCACTCTCTCTTTCAGCATCTACTCTCTGTCACTCTGTGACACAGGTTACTGTACAACATGGACCTATGGTCTGGCCCAGTAAATGGGGGTTCTTTCTTATCTGAACATGGTAAGATTAAACAATTTTGATGCAAACTTAATTTTTCAGCTCACACATAGAAGAAGATGGCTGAAACAGCAGACTGATACATACATACCTGTGGTA